CACCCGATATTATATATATATATAAATAATAAATTTATGAATAAATGTGTTTTCTTTATTCCAAGCAGTGGTCATCACCCCCCAGTGGCTGAAATAGATGATGATCACTGTTCTAACACGTTTTGTGGCTCTGGAGACACTTGATTTATTGAACAATTAGGCAGATTTGGCTCTTCTGATTGTAAAGGCTGCAGACCCCTGAGCTAATGTAACGTGAATGTGCTGCAGATGAGAATGGGGTCGTGTTTGACGTAGAAGTAATGCGAGATGAAGCTTTGGCCACTCTTGAGCTGTACAAACAGATGTCCCCAGGGCTGTCCTCCATCAGCTCACTTGTAGGAGTCCTGCAATCTATGGACAGGACTAGGGTAAGACGATATCCTGAACTTTTCCTCTTCTGCTTTGCAAACTGTATCAATAACCTCCCTCTCCTGTGCCATGGGCAGCACACGTCTCTGATGTACCTCGGCCGCAGGTCGAGAACAAAGAGCGATCTCAGTATGAAAATGTATGAAGAAGAGATCCAGGTGAGAAACTGAAGGAATTCTGCTTCATATCAAAACATTAACACTCTTGTAACTCTTTTTACTGTTTTGTCTTGTTTTATTTCGCCCCCCCACCAGGAGTGGTATGCAGAGTATTCGAACAAAAACCTGTCCCCGCTCGAACAAAGCCTGAGGCCGATTGGCGACAGTCCCGGCTCGGACTCGTATCCTCCCTTCTCAGAGCCTCAGCTGAACTCGCGCGCTGATCATCACAGCATTAACTAACAGTATATAAGATATACGGATATGATGTCTGAAGAAATGAAACCCTAGCACTTCCTGTTCCCCTGACACTTATAATCCCCAATGGGGAATAAAATAATAATCTGGAGTGAAATGACTTTGTGAAGACTCCATCTAGGAGCCAGTGTTGTCGCCCGCTGTTGGGCCTTTTGAAGGATTACAGCATAAGCTAACAGAAAGCCTCTACTACCAGTCTTTTGTATACTTGTGTATTCTATTGTAAATTATGTATTTAAACATGATGCCTTAGTTTAACATCTTACCTGACCAGTATTAACAAAGATAATACTTTACTAGGTTAAGAACTGAAGAATAAATACTCGTTTTAGTGCAGTCCTACAAACAACTCCATAAAGTTTCTCCTAACAGTTTCAGCTGACTCCAATTATTTTATACAACTTTTCATTATGTAATGATCTTCAAGCGAGAGATTTTAATAAACTATTCTAATAGCCAGTGCTCAACTTTGTTGTTTTTGTATCAAAACTGAATTAGGAAAAGAATATATTTCAAAGTTTTCGAAAGCAGCTTTGTTTAAAGTAAAACATTTGATTCACAGTACATGCACATTGTTTTAAAATTACATTATTTTTGTCTCTCTGGACTCACAAGTCCTAGCTCCAGTGACAGAAATAAGCGAAGTAAAAGACACAGTTTGGTGGTTCAGTCCTCCCTGAGCAGAAAGTAGCTTCTCGTTGACCTTTGGTTTTGATGGTTGTGGGGAGCAACAAAGTACATCATCATTGCTTGTTTGAACAGTGCAATAGAAGGTGCAGAAGATGATCTTCAGCAGTCAAGTGTTTCCTTCACAGAGCAAGATATTCTTCAGACTGTTTAGGGTCCTGGTGTCAGGTCAGGTGTGAATTATATGAAACTCTGTGAGAAGTGCGATGACAAGGAAGATGACGTAGAAGACGAGGAGAAAGATCCCATATTTCCGACCCAAGTGGAACCGATTCAGGGGTATGAAGACAAAAGACAGGACCAAGGACAAACCCAGAGATCCTGCAAGGATCCATGTCAATAGTCCCTCTGTTTCAAACTGAGGAGAAAAAACAATACCCATCATTATAATAACCCAAAACAGTCATAACAGTGTCTTATCAGGATGTTGGAGGAGAAAATTACCTGCACACCAGATTTTGTTTTAATCATCTGCATTAGACATCCCAGACCCACTCCTATTAGCATGTCTGGAAGAAAAACAGTCAAGGTCTTCTTCAGTGCTGACAAGTTGTGTTTTTATGCAGACGTGAAAATAAGGATACTGAAAATGATTCCTCCAAAGCAGGCAGATATAGCCATCCGTGGGTAGCCCTGACGAGCAATGGTGATGTCAGAGAAACAGTCTGACAAATGGAAAAGTCACACCATTAAATAGGGATTTATGTATTCGCTGGACAGAATCGTACGGTTGATTCTCGGTTACCTCCAATGCTGTTGCCCCAGGCCAAAAGAGTCAAGCCCAGGACCGTGTTGCTGAGACTCAGCACCACACCGAGCATGTGCAGAAGACCGACCACTTCAGAGGCTGCTGCACTGATCAACGCTGCACTCACCACAAAGCCTAAAAGTGCAAAGAGCTGAGGGGAAATTATAACACAGCAAAAATAACTCATTAACAAGCATTCATTCAATTCAGTTCATTTATATAGAGCCAAATCACAAGAAAGTTGTCTCGGGGCACTTTACAGGAACATTCACGTACATATAAGCCACTTAGTAAAGTTCTCTAAGGAATATTAGTAACAAAGATTAGGAAGAGTAATTGTAAATGTGCAGCCATGCTTGCAGCATACTGACTAAACAAAATGCTTTACAATCAAATTTGCAGTGAACAGAAAGAGGAATCCTGCTCATTTAAGCGATCCTATAATAATTTTGTTAGACTAAATGGTACTTACAAAAGGGGGCCAAAATTAAAAACTTAGTTCAAACTAGGATCCAATTTCTGAATCTACATCAACTCAAGTCAGATACCAAACGTTCTCTTGGTCACATGTTCCTCAACAAAAGTTTGATTGGTCTTATTTGACATTCTCTGTTGAGCTTTCCATATCATAAAAAGATCAAAGATTACTAAAATAATTCGAGTGATAAAAATGTATTTTACGTTTAACATAACATCTTGGGTGCCAGAGAAAATGTCAACGAGGGCCACATTTGGGCTCCGGGCCTCGAGTTTGACACATGCTCTAAAGTAAAAAAAATGTATGCTGGCGAGAGGAATACCCGTTTACTCAACTGGATTTACTTAAAATGTATGATTTTCAGCACAGTTGGGGTGGTACTTTACAGTATGTCTGTTTAATCGATATTAAAAACAAAACAAAAAACACTTACTGGGTGATATTTGGGAGGATGATCGTTGGTGGTTGTACAGAAAACAATAGCAGCCAAGAACAGTCCCATCAGTAGAAACAGCAGCCAGAGAGGAAACTGACCCTGGATCATTTGATTGGCATCTAAACACGAGTCAGGAACAGAACTCAATTATTAGACCACGCATTCCTTCTTGCATATAACCGCGGCGTGTTTTCTATGTTCCACCATGTACTTACATTCTCCAGACTGGAAGACGAGCAGACACACCAGAGGAGCAGTGATCAGATGGAGGGAGTTTAACGGGCGCTTCCAGTTCTTGTCTTCTTTGTCGGGGTCCACCACAGGGACACAGAGCAGCAGCAGCACCTCCACAGGTGTCTGACAAAAGCAGAATTATTTTACAACTACAGTAGTCCCTCGCTACGTCGCGGTTAGCTTTTAATGGACTCGCTCTATCACGGTTTTTCAAAGTAAGATTGGACATGACGCACAAATGGCTGAATGATGGATGAGCCGCACAGTCGGCACAGATTTTTTTTTTATTTAAAATTAATTATTTTAAATTATTTAGCACCTGTGTGCAGCCCGCAGCTGTGGGAGAAGCTTCCTCCTGCAGATGATCAGCTGATCTCTGCTCTGCACAGAGATCAGCTGATCTCCATGCAGAGCGGAGAAGTGGGCATGGCCGAGAGTGCAGCCAGAGGCAGAGAGCTGAGATCATGACATGCTGTGCTCTTTTAGAGCGTTTAGAGTTTAGAAACATTGTTTACAATATTGCAAGAGTGTGGGAAGTGTTTAAAATGCCTTTATATATATAGGTGAATTACATCATAACGAAACACTAACCAGGTTTATGCCCACCTTAAGAACTTTAAAGACTTTCCAGCTCCTTGATTTCCTCCTCCACTTCCTGTGGTCTACCGGATTCAAGGAGCTCAGCAGGATTTGACTCGTGGACTCGGAGTAAGGCAGAAGCGGCCTGTACTCTGATTGTGTGAAACAAACACACGTCATGGTCCTGCAGAACAACACCGGCATACGTTAGCTCAAATAGAACTGTGCTGGATTCCCACCGTACTCCTGCTGGATCGAAGAGTTTGCCAACGAGGAAGCAACATCGTCGTCGTCACCATCAGAGGAGGAGTCAGACGAATTCAAGTCTGCTTCCAAAAGAAAAAGACATCTATAAATAAAAGGTGGAGACCAGTTCACTGTCAGTTTATGTGATGATCTCAGTTTGAAAGTCATACCTGGAATATGTGGGACGCTTGGAGTGTCCGTGTTCAAAGAGTTTTTTTGTCGATTGTAGACGCAAGCACTGATAATAACCGTCACAACGTAAACCCCATAAAGAGACAGATACCCTGCAAAGACACCAAACAGAGCTCGGACTTAAACTGATAAACACTGACGGTGCAGTTTAATGTGTAAAGATGATGGGTGTCATACAAACACAAAACTAATCCTCAGGAGAACAAATTATTTTTATCATCTCAGTCTTTTTGAGACATTTGCTTTGTTGTGTAGTTTATGTATCATAATTTAATCTACAAATTATTCAGATAGTGTTTTTAAATATAAAAAGGTTAGCACTCCAACAACCCAAGGATATTAAAAAAACAACATACAATTACTCATACAGTGCAAATAGTTTTCAGAATCTGTCATGTGATAAAACAAGGACTCTATTAATAAATTTCATTCAGATTTTAAGCCTTTATTAGCCATTGCCAGTAATTATTTGTAATTAATTAGTTTTACTTGACATTTAAATATAAACGACGATTTTTGCATCATCTAGAAATACGTCAAATTATTTTTAAAGTGCTGTGTTTGCAGTTTTACACAGCTGACTGCGTGTGTCTCCACAGAGAATAAAATGGTGGCTGCGCTGTGCGACTCTTTGAGTGGCACTCTCATGTTGGTTTAGGACAAGTTGCTTGAGATCACAGTCTGAGACAGATCAAGTTGATCAACAAGAACTCTTCAGCATTCAAGACTTACATTTATACACAAAACTAAAGAGATATACAGGTTTTTATTCTAATCTGCCTCTGGGCATTATTTTCTGTAAATCTCCACACACTGATATAAAAATGGTATCAAGTGTTTTTTTTGTTTGTTTTTTTATGTTGTGAAATGTGATCATTAAAGAAGCTGATCTTCTTTTCTACTTGCGTTACAGCATTCCACTAAACTGAACAGAAATCTTTAGATGGGTCTTTAAATAGTCTGATAACTACGTTCTAACAAACAGAGATAAACTGCCATAATATCAGATAATAAACTGATCGACGACAGAAGAAACTGTGGTTTCTGCCAAATCTACATGGGACTTCCACAAAGTATTGCTAAACCGCGGCAGACTTCAGCTCTATCATGTCTTTCTCGATAAATCAAATGCCTCCAATAAAAACAAAGTAAATGCTCTCCCGGAGTGTTCGTGTGTACCAAGTGTTTCCCCCAGCGTCGTAGTTCCTCTGTAGAGTATGAGGAAAGTCCAAAACACGGCAGACATGTAGAAGATAACATCCCGCAGAAACGGACGGGAGGCCACAGCGAAAGGTTTGACCAGAGAGACGCCTCCTGCAACGACTGTGGTGACAAATATACCAGCTCCTGCAAAGACACGAACATGAGGTTTGATATTTTATGTACAGCTTGCTTCAGTTATTTCTTTGTTGCATGCATGTGAGAAAGAGGGAGTTTCTCCGTATACCAAATAAGGCTCCGACAGCCAGGCCAGCGGTGTGCGGGCGGGAGAATGCAACCATGGCGCTGAAGATGTCAGGAGCTCCATTACCCAGCGCGAGAAATGTCACGCCCTCAGCACGGGCATCAGTTAAGAAAATAGTATCATGCCACTAAAATGTATGATTTAACAACCCTGGCAGGGGCTGAAGAAGATCTTTGAAGGGCTCAGAGAAAGGATACAGCCACGTTGTGGGTGAGGTGGAGACTGGAAGAGATGGCCGACAGGTTGGGACAAAAACTGGGGAGAAATAAAACACACAATCAAAATGTATTTCAGATTGTCCACAAAACAATACAACTTGCAGCAGTTTCTCTACTTTTCAGCTCAAGGAGTGAAATCTTGTGTAAAGTGAAGATTTCTGAGTAAAAAAAAAAAAAAAGAGCAAAGGCTTCTTTTTGATAAGGTCTCAACAATAAAACTTCCTTCGGTCATGTGACTCGTCTTCATGTGACTGTTAAGCTGACCGTGCTTAAAGGCCAATGTGTGTGCGTGCGTGCGGCGTGTATGTAACCAGTGCATGTGGTCTTTCACTTTCAGAAACGTTGAACACATTTAGAGAAGGGAGGAGGCATCACGACAGAAACTTACAACTTTGAAGCAGCGAGTCCGAGAATGACGAACAGAAAAAAGAGCCACACAATCTGTGGAAACACAAAGTGAAGTCACTGTTTTAACAACTGAACAAATGATTAACTCGGTTGACCTGCAGCTAACTTTCTACAAAAACACATTTTCTTCTCAAGTTTTGCCTGCACGGTTTCATTTTTAGCGTTTTTAAGTGAGAAGTTTCTTAACGTAGACAGTTTTGATGCAAACTGGGGAAGTTCAAACGTCAGTGAAATCAATTAGCAAATGGTGAAATGTGAGTTTTTCACTTCAGATGACTGAACATTCCTGTTTCACATCCAGTTACCGGTACATCGACTTCCTCTTTATCTTGTCCCGAGGTGGTTTTTTTTTTTTTTTTTTTTTTTTGGTGCGGTTTTATCTCTTTGTTCCACATACTGTACAAAACCAGGCTGACGTGCAGGCCTTACACAGAGAGTGATGGTGAGAGGAGTCAGGTCGGGCCTCAACAAGCAGAAGGCCAGATCCAGGTAGTTGATGTACCCGTCCTCCATGTCACAGTCAGGTGTCCTCTTCACGAATGAGCAGCGCTCTGAGGCGTTGTAGTTCATCACAAGGTCGCACTGCATATTTAAGCAAACCAACAAAATCACGGGTAAAATACAACTGTCCAGTCTCATCAAAGCTGTAACAAGGTTGAGTCAGGTCCTCTGGACGGATTCTTCTTTGTTGAAACGTTTCATCTTTTATCCACAAAAACTGCTTCAGTCTGAGGAGCTGCAACAAACTTGTCTTATAAGCCGCACCTTATAATAGTGGATCAACCAGTTTGTTGGTGACAGACAAAACTATTTGTTCACATGCCAAAGAAGGACCATCAGCATAACAACCGATCGTTAGAGCCCTGATGGCCGCTTGCTATTCACAGAGGGCTGAGTGATTCTAGCAATAACAGCATTGAGTGGGACAGTTGAACACGGAGGCCTCCGCCCGTTTAACGAAAGGCGAGTTTTCTTCACAGATGGCTTCCTTCACTCCTCTCTCAAACCAACTTCCAGTCTATTCAGGATGTGCACATCTTCATCCCTGAAAGAGTGACCGCTGGCCTGGAGATGTTGCAACATGTTGTTGATGTTTAACAAAGAAGAACCCGTTCAGAGGATCTGACTCAACCCTGTTAGATTTATCTACCTGGATCCTTGAGCCTACATCAGGACACTCATCAAACATATTGAACAGACTGCAGTCACATGAGTTTCATTGCACGATTACGTTAGGTAAAATAGTTGAAAACGTGACGAATAGAATTTTTAAAGTAAAAAAAAGTGTAGTCTATCTGAATTATTTTTTGAAAGTTTATATTATTTGATGCTTTTCAGTCAAACAAATTGCACTGAATATCCAACAGTAAGTGGTGGACACTGCTGAGTGGAAATGCAGCAAGATGAAAAGTAAACTTTATTAAAAAGCCACATCTAACCTAATTCAATAGTCTATCATCTGCATCAGAAATGGGTCAGTAATATGAATATTTTATATTCATACAACATTCTTTATTTCTTTATCAACACACTAATACGTCAAATGTACTAGATATTTTTCTTAATTATTACTTTGAATCCTGCTGGATTAAATTTTAATCTTAAAGTTAGTATTTATAACTATTTTATTAGTTAACCTGAACCAAATGACAATATACCAATAGTGGCCCAGGGATATTAGGAAATGACCACCTGATAGTAATTATAGTATATACAATTAACCACCTTTATATAAAATATATGGAGCCACACAATGTATTTAAATGTCATCTGTCATGTTGGTGAAACTAGTACGAATCACGTGACAGCAGAGCACAGTAAACTGCAGGGAACCCCAACATTTCTCACGCTAAGGCTACATGTTATGAAATAATCTCACCGACCTCATCATTCATGTTGTTTACAGGCATCGTGGTCAAAGAAGTACCGAAGAATCCGACATCGGTCTGGTTACTGAGGAGCCCGGATCCTGTGGCGGCCCGCTGGCTGCACAGCAACGCCAGCAAAAGTGACAGCAAAACACCGACAGACATGATTCCCTTTACCCTGGAGCGACGTCCATCCTGGCGCTGAGCTACAAGGACCTGACAGATTTAATCAAGCCGTAAAAGATACGGGTGTAAATCTCATGTAAATACGTCACTGTTGTTCGGGTACAGCTTTACTTTACCGTGTTTGTTTTTCTCACCGAGCGTCCAAATTGGACTGTCAGAACCTGTCGTTTACCTCTGAAGCTCCGCCCACTGTTAGCCAACCGGATTGTGCTGCGTTCAAGGACTCAGTAAAAACTCAGAGCGTTAAGAGTACAAAACACGACAACAAATACAGTGAATATTTATATTTTACTGAGTGAGTTAAAGTACAATTCTGTTCCATGTAACGTTTTATTTAAGTTAAAAAAAAAAGTTGTTGTGAAAATGTATTAAAATTGAACGAAAATCAACCACATGACATAAATCAAAGTTCCCATACCTTTCAGCTTGGCCCACAAAAGTCGCAGAAGCTCGTGACTAATTCTTTAAACACGCAAACTAACAAGGGCATAATTTATGGACTCCATAATAATCACAATACCAACAACCTTAATAACTATTATATTACTTTTATTCATTTAAGATTATAGTAATAAATCTTTGTAATAAATTAGTGAAAATATTAAATTAGCAATATATTTACATTTAAATTGATTTCTAGGAATCATCTGGGGACACTACATTGTCCATGTTTCATGACCCACAGTGGGGTTATGACCCCAACTTTTGGAACCACAGATTTAAAAAAGTTGTTAAATAATATATTTGCAAATGTAGTACCTGATTATTATGGTGCTAAACTAAAGAGTGAGACTTTTGTGGCACCATTCTTAATGGGCACATTTTGTAAACTCCCAAATACAAAAGTAAAATAATTTACAACTGAAAAGCTGCACACTGCATATTTAAACTCTGAAACATCACTAAATTAAAAGTTTTTTGTATAGTGATTTCATATGTGCTTGTAGTTAATTAATAATGAAATTGTAAATATTTAGCTATACATTTAACAGGTTTTGCTTAATAATAAAAAAAAGCTTTATTTGTAAAAATGTCTGATAAATTACCAAGATAAGAATGCTCAGCATTGGCTTTGAAATGTAACCAGTTAACCTACCTGGACCTAAAATGCTCTCAAGTGTTTCATTTATTACATTTACTTACTATAAACATGAATACAAACTAGGGAGAAATTTAGGAAAATATACCTTGATATCATTTAATTTGTTAATTAATAGTGTATTAAAATAAGCAACAACCAAAATGTGTGCAACTTTTACAATTGTTGATTAAGACAAACTACGGTATGCTGCGTTGACATTTTATATAACAATAAAACTGATCAACAGAGTTTACAGAAATGGACGATAGAAGAACTGTTAAAAACCTCTTACACACTGTTCACAACGGTCCAAACAAAAACCATCACATATAAATAATTTTACACCACAGGAAGTAAAACTCCTAAATCTAACCTGTATTGTAGAACGGATTATGACTGTGAAAAGCAAACAATTCATATTGTTATATTGCAGTCAGAGCAGCACGGTGGCGCAACTGGTAGAGCTGCTGCCTCTCAGCGAGCAGGTCCTTGGTTCAAACCCCGGTCCAGGGGCCTTTCTGGGTGGAGTTTGCATGTTCTCTCCGTGCATGCGTGGGTTTTCTCCGGGCACTCCGGTTTCCTCCCACAGACCAAAAACATGCATGTTAGGCTGATTGGTAACTCTAAATTGTCCCTAGGTGTGAGTGAGAAAGTGAATGGTTGTTTGTCTCGTTTGTCTCTATGTGGCCCTGTGATGGACTTGCGACCCGTCCAGGGTGTACCCCGCCCCTCGCACAGTGATTGCTGGACATGGGCACCAGCGACCCCCGTGATCCAAAATGGAATAAGCGGGTAAAGATAATGGATGGATGGATATTGCAGTCAAAAGTGCAAATCGATCAAAAGATCATTCCTGTTATTTAGTACTGACTACTTCTTTTGAATAATAACATATTCTCAGAAATCAACACAAACAAAATAAAGAGAAATTTAGAGATGGTGTGTGTCACTATAGTACATTCGAGCACTAACATTTAAAGATCAAGCCATGAATTGATCGGTATTCAGTGATCACTCAGTTTTAAATCAGCTATTCATAAACCAGCCCAGTGTCGAGCGGTGCCGTGCTGGATTCATAGCAGCCGCTCTTTTGTTTATTTACCACGAGACACAAGTCCTGTTCACACCACCTGGTAAAAGAGAAATAAAATATGTATATGTTATATGTACAAATATGTGTTTTATTCTTCCAATGCATTTAAATGTGTTTGTTTCATTTGTTAAATTTACCTGAGAGCAGCATATATGTCATGTGGAGAGGCTTCTTTCCAACATGCATGGTCTATGAGAAGGGCGCCTGTTAAACATACAAGAGGTGTGTACTGGTAAATAAATCTTGTACATGGATATGTGGAATATTTAATACCAACTATGCAGATAATTATTTAGCCATCAAGATAATCCAGTCAGATTGATCCATTACAGCTGTTATTTTGTCAACACCTGTACAGTACCCACCTGCGTAGATGCGAGCCAGGGTGTATGCCAGGTCTCTAGCTGCTAGTTCCAGGTAGTTTGATCCTCTAGAAGCAGCGACCTGAATAAACTCCTCCAGTTCGGACAGAGCGCCATCGACTGATTTCACAGCTGGGGCTAGAGAAGAAACACTAGAGGCACCTGCAAGCAGCGACTACAAAACAATAAAAAGCAAATTGAGTAAACATTCCTGTTCAACACAAGCAAATAACAGGAAGTGAACCAGATCTCTTATCTCTTGTACCTTGACGTGGGTAAAGTATGCGTGCAGAACCATTCCTGAGCTACGAGCCACACAGCGCAGAACGTCCAAAGATAGAACGTTTGTTGTCCCTTCCCATATACTCAACACCTACAAACAGAAAATTAGGTGAGCCTAAAGCGTTTAAAAGACCAACCAAGTTTAGATGCCGTTGTCACCTGTGCATCACGAAGCATTCCAGGAAGCCCAGTATCCTCGATGTAGCCCTGCCCGCCGAAGCTTTCTAAACCCTCTGATACAACAGCTACTGCCTGAGACAAACACAACGAAACAATCAAACAAAAACACTTGGGGGGGGGGGATGTCTAATTTTACATGTATGCACCTGCTTCCCGGTGTACAGTTTGACCACGGGGGTGAGCAGACGGAGGAGGTGTGCATCCAGCTGGCTGGCCAGGCCGCTCTCTTCTCGACCCAACAGGCGACACAGTTCCATCACCAGAAGAAAAGCTCCACGAGTCTCCACCTGTAAACGTCAGGAGGAAGTGAGGAATGATGGGAATTGGGAGTCGGAGCATTTTTTCCTGCTGCTACTTCACCTCCATCCTTGCGAGAGTCTGCATGTGCAGTGGGTGGTCTTTAAGAAGCTTTCCAAAAGCAGTTCGGCGAGTGGCGTAGTCACGCGCCAACTGGTGGACTCTGTGAAAACACACATCCACACAGCAGTTAACCAGCTGACATGCTGCTTGATTTTAGAAGATGAATGAATGTTGTCCTGCCTTCTCATCGCAGCTGCTGCAGAGACACTGTTGTGAATCCTGGTTATGGTCAGCATGTTCGCGATGGAAGCCACACCTCGCCCTTCCTCTGAGAGCTGTTTTTAGAGAAAACACGTACAAATGACTCTTGAATGATATTTAGCTTCTAACAAAGTCCTCCAATATACATAAGAGCTCCCTCTGAAATCATTTCAGTATGCTTTCAATAGGTTGTATTTTCTCAAAATAAAAAAGTGACAGTTCACTGGGTTTATGTTGAGGGTAGAAACTGTGAGATGAAATATGAATTCAACGCCTCAGTTTTAAGACTTTCCTGTTGTAGTGAACCTGGTCTGACCCTTATCTGACCCTGATGACCTCAAATTTACCAGATGGACAGAGACTGTCATTTTCATTGATCTGAATAAGTCTGAGCCATCTGATGACTTTCTTTCTTGAATTAATCAAGCAGAAAAGACAATTCTTTATAATCATTACTGTCTTACAAATGTTTGATAATCAAATTGTGTTAGTTTCACTCAATGCTTACAGGTTGAAAAGAACTACTCATTTTTATTTTACATAAACAGTAAGTAATGATTTTTATTCCTCATTCAAAGAAGAAATCACCTGAATATGCATTTCTTGATTTTCTGTCTGAAATGAGCCAAGTCGTAAGTATGTGAAAGTTGAAGCTTCGGTCAACTAAATGTTTACTGAAAAAGGGATGTCATGTTTTACTATTTGGAAAGATACAACAGAGTGAGGCTCCAAAAAGTCTGGTATTCTGCAATAATCTTTTCTGTATGTTGAAAACAAATTCATTCCCTGACCTCGACTTTTGATAATACCTTACGTCAAAAACCACACCTCTTTCTGGTACATCCACGAATCAGAAAGCTCTAAATTGAACCGGAAGTCGACCCATTTAAAATGTGGCAACT